AGACCAGAGAGATATTTCCAAAATACATAATCAATCATCCTTGCTTTGAAATCCTGCAGACACTTCCCATTGTCTACAGGCAAAGGCCACATGCCTTGTCCTGTCATCCGAGATGCTCTGTAACTGGTTCCCACCTGGCCCTCTAGTTTTATCCCATCCTCCTCCTCCCAGGTCTACACAGGACATCTGTGCCTTTCTGCCTGGACCAGGCTCCCCTCCATGTCTGGCAGACCCACCACATCCTTAAGGACTTGGTTCAACTATCGCTTGTCCAAAGGGGAAGAATTAATACCCCACCCTTGCTAAGCTATGGCACCCAACATTGGCCTCTAAAACCATACTTTCCCCATTGTGGTGTGGTTATGTTCTATACTTAAAAAAAAAAAAAAAGCCCATCTAGGAGCACAGTGTCTGGCACACAGAAAGCATAATTCAGTTTTCTTGAATGGTTAGCTAAACTACCTCAGAGCTGAAATTAACCCACAGATCCGCAATGATTAGGTGTAAGTAGATGGAAGGAAGCCTAATGAGCTTGAAGCATCCTAGACTCTTAAGTTTCCATTTTGTTTATGAGGACAGGCTTTTTAAGAATCTTGTGCAAATCCACATAAACTGTTTCTATAATGCCCCAATCTTACTTCCTAAAACCTCTAACCTTCAAGGGCAAAAACAGCAAACTCTTTCCACTATGATGAAAATCAGAACTGACATCAATAAAGAGCAGAGTGTAATGGAAAGAATTCTCGTGGATTCAGAGAATTTGAGTGGATGGATGGATGATGGTCTCAGTTTTATCAACTTAGCTTGTATATGATCTCAATCAAGTTACTTTTTAAATTTTTAGTGCTTTTTCCCCCACATATAAAGTGGATTTTTAAATTAAATAATCTTCAGGGTTACTTCTGATTCTAAGAGTCTAAAGTTCTTTATTTATGCCAGTGCTATTTTTCATCATAGTGGAAAAGAGTTTGCTGTTTTTGTCCTTTGAAGGTTAGTGATTTTAGGGAAAAAGATCAGGGGCATTCTAGAAATAGTTTGTGTGGATTTATACAGGTACTTAAAAAGCCTTATCCTCATAAACAAACAGAGCATCTGTTTTGTGAGGTCTTGGGATGAGCCAACTCCCCATAGGGCAGAGGTTACCTCCACTGGGAGAGGATCGTGGGTTTACTATATGGGTCAGTACAAGGAAGTGGTGGCTTCAGGTGTAACAGAACATTTTTTGATGTAACAACTGGCCAGCAGAGAATTATATTACCAGGAAATAACAACTCATCCTAAGTTTTCATGAAGGCCAGGAGTTGCTCTTGGTTTGTAATTCCTAGCTATATAATGATATACTTTAACTCCTAATGATATACTTAAACTCCTAAACATTAACAGACTAAAAAGTGCTTCTTGCTACCAGAGAGAAGTTAAATACAGCACAGTAAAATTAGTTTCACCACGAGGGTGTCCAGCTCTAATTATATAACAGCTTCTAATTATAAAACATCATTATCCAGTTTAAAAAGAATGGTTATTAACTTTTGCATCTCATTAAAATTAACAGTTAATTTGCTAAAAGTTGCTACTTTGGAAAAACTGCCGACGATTGTTTTGTATATATGCACAGGTGTAACATGTACAAGGGCACATGATAACAGGCAAATTCTGCATTTAAAATCTGGCACACATTTGGATTTTTAGCTAGTATGCGTTGTAGCTAGTATTTTGGGAGACATACTTATATTTATTTAATTCAATGAACAGGAATTGCCACTTGCCAGGGAGAAAAGGATACGATAAAAAAAAAAAAAAAAAAGGAATGGGTTAGCCATCTATGCCTGAACAGCCGAGAGCTGGTAGAATGAGGTGGGCAGCACGGATGGTGGGGGGTACAGGGACTAGAAGGTGGAAACGATCCCATTCCAGTAATAGGACAAACTGT